ATTTTTATTTATTTATTTTTTTTCAATTTGTGAATCTGTAATGGCAAAGCAGAGAGCCTTTGGTGCTGTTAGCTCGGAATAATGCTTTTTTGGATAGATTATCCTTAGTGGCATGGGTCGAAAATTTCAGGCCCCGAGGTTAAGCGCTTAAGAGATAGACGCCTGGAAGGCCTAGAAGCGCTCCAAACTCCGGGTGATTTTTAAATTCTATACTTATAATATTATTGAAATTATATCGTTGTTATCGTGTCATAAGTTAAAAGTGATGCCATCTGTACGGATTAAACTAAAAAAAAAACGAGTAGTAAATTTATACGTGTTGTAATTATTTTCTATATTCATATTAAATAGTTTATACATACTTTAATTTTTATATGGGATATATTTCTCTCACACCTTGTAAAATATTCCAATAAAAGTAGGCTATCTATATTATTATCATATTCTCTAGAATTATGTGCCTTTCTTTGTAGGGATTCCTGTTTAATATTTTGGTATCTATTAATATTTGTCTCATATATATATATATATATATATATATATTAAGAAATAGACAAAGTCCGACAATTTATTTATTAAAGACATTTTTATGTTTAACGTTCTTTTTTATAGATACGAGTATTTAAGTAAATGCTCTGTTTATGATAAACAGTATTAAATAACATTTACCGGCCTGAATGTCCGAGAAATTTTCATAGAAAATATTCGTCTTTTTTAATATATTTCTTAATATATGACGTCATTTGTTTACATTTGATACGCCAGAGCAGTTATGAATGTACGAGATTCATGGAAGATTGAAGTTTATAAGCAGTAAATTCGACCCTGCCTACCGAACGCTGTGGCCGAGTGGTTAGGCACGTCAGCGTAAATGACGGTTCCGCATAGGATGCAGGTTCGAATCCTGTCAAAGGACGAATATTTTCTTTGAAAATTTCTCGGACATTCAGGCCGGTAAATGTTATTTAATACTGTTTATTATAAACAGAACATTTACTTAAATACTTGTATCTATAAAAAAGAACGTTAAACATAAAAATGTCTTTAATATATATATATATATATATATATATATATATATATAAATGTCAAGGTTGCACTTAAAATCAGGCAAAAATGCGTATTTTCAAGATATTAAACTGCATTTTATGGAATTAGAGTATTAGCAAATAACATCTGCAATTTGCGATGCAAAGGTTGATAAGATCCTCGGGAACCCGATGGAAATACCTATACATTGCTGTCAGTGTTATCCTGTTCACTCTTTCTACGTTATATCAAGTGTGTTGCATCTGTGATGTTCATTGAGTACACCTTCTCCTTTAGCATTCCCCAGAAAAACAAGTCCCATTTTTTTGTTTTGACAAATCCATGTTTAATCCGTGGAGGTAAAAAAATATAGTTAATGACATTTTCTACGAGTCTAGACGTTAGGAACACCCTATAAGTCGTTTAAAGATCGCGTGAAACTCGAGTTACGACGAGAGCCATCCTTTCATAGGATTTAAAGTTGGTAAGCATCTTTTGCTCGACGTAGGCAATCCAAGCTTGGAGCGCTTTACTTAGTATGTAAGTTTTGCATTTAAGCCTTTCTTTTCCTTTCTTCATAAGTATTGTCTGTTTTATTTGAGACTATATCTGGATAAGAGTTTTAGCTTTTGGCAAATTGTTCGTTTGTTCCAACAACGGCTTTTGTTTTTCACACACATACGCAGACACACACACACACACACATATATATATATATATATATAGATAATATTAGTGGAAAATATACATACATATGAAAAATCTTAAACACTAATATTCCATGGTCATAATTTATTCCATGGAATAAATTATGACCATGGAATATTAGTGTTTGTTTTAGTTTATATATATATATATATATATATATATATATATATATATATATATATATATATATATATATGTGTGTGTGTGTGTGTGTGTGTGTGTGTGTATATATATAAATATATATATATATATATATATATATATATATATATATATATATATATATATATATATATATATATACTTCATTGAGACTGACATTTTGAACATTTTGCTTTGTTCGAAAGAGCACCTGGACAATTAACCTTATTGTAATGAGTATACGCTTAATCAAACGCTGCGCAATTAGTTGCATTGCTTTCCCCAAGCAATATACACAACATTTAAGGGACAGGAAAAGCCAAGCGTCAATCAAATTAAAACAACAACAAAAAATATCTTGGGCCGCTAAATTTATTAAGCGTTAAGTCTTCTAGTTGAAACCATTCATGGGAGTATTTATACGAGACATATCAAAGACATTTTGTTGACATATGCCAACGCATATATATAACAAAATATAAAATATATATATATATATATATATATATATATATATATATGTGTGTGTGTGTGTATATATGTGTGTGTGTATATGTGTGTGTGGCCTGACCTATATATATATTGGTGGCCTGACGATTGGATCTAGCATGAAACACTGTCACCTCTAAGTGTTGAATTCTATTTTCATTTTACATTTACACGTTCTATCTCTGATATTGAGCACTTTATCCATAAATATAGCACATC